TTCTGTCTTCTGATGTGATTGACTTTAAGATAATTGTAGATCTCAGTAACCTATCTGCTTTAGCTCTTCCCATCCATTTTCCAAGTACATCACACTTTCCCCTGTCATGTCTCCTTCCTATTTTGACTTATATATTCCACAAAATAGATCTTAGTAACCTATCTTACTATTTAGCAGGGGGGAGGTGGAATTTCAGTGGTGCCCATCCAGTAACCAGTGAGGGTCCAATGTTTGTTGATAGAATGAGGCATGGAGATAGAGGTCACACAGATGATGCCTTCTTTAGGAGACAACAATTTCCTATTGAAGGAATTAACCGGCCATCCATGGATAGGCACATTGATGACCGTTTCAGTTATGATAATACTGGCCATGGGCTAAAGAGGCCCTTTTCCATGACAGTAAGTCACATGAGTTTCTCTGTTGCTCCTTTCCCTGTTACCATCTCAGGTTAAAGAGCATTAGATGAGAGCATTAGATGACTGACTGTAACAGATTACAATTGATCCTTCTACTTTGTAGGTCCCGAATCCGGATTACTTGGGGCCTAGCAGACGTCCGCGGTTTGATCATCCAGATTCTGCAAGTTCTCTTCAAGGAGATCGTTATAGAGGTATGAGGTTTATTTGCAGTTTTTTTGTTAAGCTGCTTGCTTGTTAGATCAAATAATTATTCATGTATTTACTCTCCTCTATGTTAGATAATGTTCCTCCCAGTGGTGATCATCAGTATGCACGTGGTTATTATGGCTCTGATGTGAGTATGATGCTTCACTTTATCTTTCTTAGTGTTATCAACCCTAGTTGTGATATTTCTTTCTATGTAATCTTACAGTATGGGAGAGGCCAACATCCATCTTTCTATAGAGGTGGTCATCCAAATGGGCGTGGATATGGTCGTGGTTATTATTAGTCTTGATGAGCATTCGGTAATTTGGATAATCGGATGCTTTATTATTCTTTATTCGTACTCATCTTACCTCATATTGTTAATCTTATTGACTTTTTTGTTACAAAACTATTTCAGGTGTCTTCAGATGGTAGAATGTTCTTCTTGACGATGGAATGAGATTTTTGTGGTGCAGTATAAAAAGGAAAGAGAAGCAGTCTTTTAACTTCATTTCCTATGCATTTAATGTTTATCTCTCTTTTTGTTTCCCGCCGCTGTAATGTTTCGCTTTCGGCTGTCCAAAGTTCCATCTTTCTTAGTTTAGATTTGCCTGTTTTGGGGACATCAATCCGGACATGGTATAGTGTCTGTTAGATGGAGTTTGACTAGTAACGAGCTCCTTCTGCTCTAGATAGAAACAGTGTTATGGGGTAGTGGATATGACTATTAAGATAAGGCAACTTTCCTACTAGCGTTCAATTTTGCTGGAATAGTTATATGTGTTGAGATCTTCATTGTGAAAGATTTAATATTGGGTGTCTTATTATATTTAGTAGTTAGTGGTATTCACATACATGGAGAGGCAAATTTGCTGAGTTTCAAAATAATGATATTGGGGATATTACCTCGATGGTATTTGTGGAGATTTTATATGTAGGTTCAAATTCAAATATTCAGCACTATTGTTAAGGGAAAGATCCTCCTAAGGTCGACTATTTTAAAATTCGTCGTGGAGCAGAGGTAGTCATCGTCATATTTCAGCCTTTCAAGAGAAGAAGAATAGCATTAACAGTATTTATGAATTGCAATGATGTTGTCTTGGAAGGGATTTGCCTCATCATGGTGATGCATTATGAGTGACTTGTCTACTATCTTGTCTTGTGGGATCACCTTTGGCTCTATGTATTCTCATGGTTGCTCTGTAATGGAAATATGATGTAGTTATAGGCCATTTTATACAACTGATGAATCTGGTGTATCTAGAGAGCCACCTAAGCTTTTATATCATATGATAAGGTTTCTCCAAGTTGAATAAAGTATTAAGAATTTTACTTTTGAAGCGTAACCAATTAGAGCGCTTGGTTGGCTTAGTATAGATTCTATTTTTTTTATGGTGGAAAAAGGGTGTATTACCATCAATATTAGGCACTGATGGTTTGGTTCTATAGAGTTTCTCTTTTACTTCTGGTAAATGGATGAATGTCCCTTCTGAAGCTTGAGATGGAAACTTCTAGCTCCCAAGATAAACAATTTTGAACTATCTATCCTTGGGCCTTCTCTTTTCAATGGTTGCAACAATTTATGTAGCCTTTAAGGACTGTTTGGTTTGGGTTCTAGGAGATATCAGATATGATCTCCACATAAAGGTCAACATAAATTTATACAATTTATGGTTATAAATTGAGGAGGTTCAATCTCCATGTAGAGATCAACATTAGTTAAATACAATGTTTGGTAGATTCTTTTTGTTTAACTCACAAATAATACCTGCATAAGTTATGTGATAATCTATGTATTATTTAATGTTGGGTAGAGTGTGGAATAAGAATGCACTTATTAGTAGTAAACGGATTAAAAAATGCTAAAATGACCCAGCTAACCCTTGTAATAGTAACATTTTTGTTTATTTTGTTCAAAAAGTACATATATTTTAAACCTTACATTGTATACTAATATGTAATATATCAAGCTAAGCATTCAACAAGTTTTGAAGACAAGTATATTCTGTACATAAAGTTAAGTTGAATTGTATTTTAAATTTTCAGTTTTGGTAGATAATACTGAAAATAATCTTAGCGCTTGTTTAATTGGGGACTACTAGCTGAAAATAATCTTAGGGCTTGTTTGGTTGGGGACAAGTTGTCCTAATCCCAGGATTGTTATCCACCCTTAATGTGGGATAAAAATAACACTACAATCTCGGGATGAGTTATCCTGCGATTTTGTCCCAATCAAAATCTTAGTATAACTTATCCTGCGATGTTTTAGACTTCCTGTTGGGTCCAGTTACTGCATTATTTCATGGCTGAACTTACAGCTCCTCTATCATATGCAAGTAGTCTAAAACATCAAAAATTGAATCATGATATTCTAACATGTTTCTTTACACCAAAATGCTAAAATACCACAGACTTGGACTTCATCTTCTGGATATGACATGATTTATCTAAAATCATCTTTTGTTAATTTCTTCCCTTATTGTCCACCAAATACAGGCTGGAATGGCCTTCCATCTCTCCTTTGGGCTTAAGTTGGCACATTCTCTGTGATAGGAAATAAGGACATCAGGTAAGGAGGCATGACATCTGATACACGGAGTATCAGATTTAGTTTACCCCCAGGTACAAATAATTACTCTTCCAAATAGATAATTCTTCACACATTTGCTTTCGGCTCCCAAAGGCATCCTTAGATACTCAGTAGGCAGGACACCAACTTTTCCTCCAAGGTTTCTGGCCAAAGAGTGCAACGGGATTAATCCTACTGGGTAAAGATAAATTTGGTCCAGTTTATGTGTAAACCAGGTATATTGCTTCAAGCAAGAATAAAAATGATCCTCAGCATTCTCACTTGGTCACAATTTGCCTCACAGAACACCAATATGTCATCTGCATATTTTAGGTGTGAAATCTTCAGAGTACTATCCACTCCTGAACTCACCTGGAAGCCCTTGACCCGATTCCCCCCCTCAGTCTTTCTAAGCATATGATGAAGTCCTTCCATAGCAACATTGAAAATAGAAAGGGACAAAGGATCGCCCTTTCTTAAACCCCTTTCTGAATGGAAGAAACCAGCTGGAGAGCCATTAACAAGAACTGGAAACCTTCCTGTGCTGATGCAATATCTGATCTAGCCTATCCATTAGACACCAAAGTCCAATGGTCTCAAAGTATCCAACAGGAATTTTCAGTTGGGATGATAATAAGCTCTGTATACCAAATTCGTGTAGTATAGGCTCCTCACTCACTGTTGTAGTATCCATCACCCTCATTAGTAATGAAAACTGCATCCATGATTAGCCTACGTTTTATAAACGCTATCTGCTGATTTTCTACCCACATGTCTATTACTTTCTTCAGCCTCTCATCAGTCAAGTTTGGAAATGATCTTGTAAATACAACCCATCGAACGAATAGGTCTGAGATCTCGTAAGTCTGAAACGCCCACTTTCTTCGGAAACCCCAAACCAGTTCAAGTTTCAGCAGCCGCTACCACAGCATATCTGACCACTTCCCAACACTGGTAATAAATGTCATAGAAAACCTATCAGGTCCAACTTCTCCTACTTTTTCCAGTTACACAGTTTTAAGTTTGGGAGGTTCCTTGCCCCCTTCCCCGGAAACCCCAAACTAGTTCAAGTAGTTCTAATACGACCTTTTGCGACCAACTGTAGTTTTAATTAAGGCAGCATTGGTCGCATGCCAATACTGTTTTGTACCTGATTTTCTTTTCTTAATACTATTATTTTCCTTTTCAATTTTTATTCCACCATCTCCTCAAACCAAACCTCTAGTTCACAAAATCTAAAAACCAAAACTACTGCCAAATCACCCTTATCTTCTTAAATCAGCCATCATCAAACCACCCTAAAATTGGTCCACCAAATTACCTTTGCACAAAATCGGAATCATTGGACAGTGGCCCTTGCCGAAGAAACGGAATTGTCAAAAAGGAAGAAAGAGAACAGGAAAATAAAATAAAAGAAAAAGAGGTGGTGGAAGTGGCATAGGATGCGGTAGGGAGAAAAAATGAAAAAAGAAACAAAGAAAAGAAAACGGAAAGGAAAAAGAGCTAAAAAGATTAATGAAGAAATGGTAAAACATTCTTTGGGGGGGCTTTCTCCCGCACGCTCCTAATTTCATGCAAACACTGCAAGTGATAAGTGTCGAAGTAGTCGGGCTACTAAGCTGAAAGTGTGTAATTGAAACTCAGGGACACCTTTGACGGGACCTTGTGTATATATTTTTTTTGTTTGGGTTGCTTTGTCGTGGGAGTTCATAAATCTGGGTTACAAGATCAACATTTGTTTTGAAGTGCAGGAAAACTTGGTTCATGATGAGCCTTTGGAGTTTTTGGTGCTGCTCTATGTGTCACCACATTTTTTTTTTAAAAAAAATAAATAAATATGAAGGTTTCCAATTCGAGATCCGTTCTGCTGATGTTGTATACACATCATGGTTGGTTCTTTAGTCCATTTAAGCCAAGATTTACTGCATCTCTATATGGACGAGAAGTTTTAGAGTATATGTTTTCTGCTGCAATGATATTAATTGCTCCACTCTGTTAAAGCTGGTCTGTTTTCTTACTAACATACGTAGGGCATCAACAGTCTCATCGCTGGCTGCATATATCATCTTTTCAAAGTTCATGTTTGTTTCGGATTGTAATGGGAGTAGATTTTTTGGTTGGTGTCTGTCTCGTTTACATGATTTAATATCAGATAATATTGATTAGATATTGACTGTGAGTTAGGTGAGGGTTAGCAGAAGTGCTTTGGATTGAGATTTTGGGCTTTGATAGTCCAGTTTTGTTCTTACATTTCTTTTTCGAGTGTTAAAGTTAGGTGAGATTGCGTTCATCGTTTCCATGAAATTACAGGTGATTGTGCAATTCAATCCGAGTGGTCCGGTCTTGCATCTTCTATGTACTCTCTTTTTGGTTGATGCATATGTAGGATATTTAATTAGAATACAGCAGTAACTGAGGTTTGTTATTTGTTGCAAGTAATTCGTTTCTGCATTATTGTAATTCTAACTATATGTGGATTCAGTTTTAGTAGAATGTTAAAGTTAGTGAAGAAACTGTAGAAATCCCATTCAGCTTGTTAAATATGTGTTTGCAATTGTGTCATTATTGTGCTTTTTTAAGGGAAGAGATTAAAATGACCGAACTAGACATTTATGAAAGGCATGTGTAGATTAGGCTTGTGGAATCATTCCTGCCATTCTCAGATAGCTGATTAGTGCAACTGTGTATTTGAAAGATGCCATGGTAACTGTTAATGCTGATTAGTGCAAATGTGTTTCTTTAAAAAGATGACATGCTAACTGGGGAAAGCATTAACGCAAAGCACAAGGAAATACGAAGTGGTTGATGATGCTTAGGAGCAGTGTTATAAAAGGCGCTCAGGGCGTTCTACGCACTGGGTGCAAGTTCTAATGAAATCATTATCCTTTTTATTATCGTTCTGCAGACCCACTAATCGTGTATTTGGTATTTGGTGTGCTACGCCTTGCTTGGGGACTCGGGGATTGGAGTAACATATTTAGTTTGAGCTTATTTGCTCGAGGTTTGGTGTAAAGGATTATTCAGCACTTGCGGCTGTGGGCTGTACTGGTTATTAGCTGAGGGAAAACAAGCAAGTTTGATTTTATCGTCATCAAGAAAGGAAAAGAATAAAAACCTGGTGTTGAAACGTCTGCCAAGTGAAGAATCAAAATGTAAAAAGTTGCAGAATCTCATCTACTAAACAATCTGTTATCGTAACATGTTGCCAAAATAATGATTTCCATTTATTATTGTGAAAAACATACATGTACAGGAAAAGACAGAGGTACTTGATATTTATATCGTACTTATGAAACAGAAGGGAGAAAAACAATTTGATCATCTTGAAGGTAATGACAAATAGAGGGAGCACCAGGCTTAGCATTAAGCACTACAAAAGGCAATCCTTTTGGATTCCACAGAGATGTATCTTTATGACATATTGATACTGCTTTCACCTTAGTTCCATCAACACCGATCATCGATACCATATACGTCTTTGTACCTCCTCCACCATGACAAAAATGCACTGCATACGCGTAGTTAAGTTTGTGGCATATCATATTAAGTCCATCAGCCATGAGTTCGACTTCTTTAATGGTGTATTTTTGCACCATCTGATTTTCCCCTTGAACCTCTGTTGTAACTACCTTAACATTGTTTGTTCCAAGCATGAATATCCCAAAATCTACCATAGACTCTAAAGAAGTTGCACACTTTCTCTTCTCTCCTTTCATCGCGGGTTCTTCACATACTTTGACTGTTTCCTCAATTGTTTTAGCGTCTTTTGAGTTGTTATTTATTGAGAAATAGTTTAGAATTTGTGGGATTTTTTTCGATGAGAAGGGAATAGATTCCACAAATTTTCGAGGCCAAAATGGTGCTTCGTTTTTGTTCTTTAGAGAGGGAAAGTTGATGACTTTCCCTTTTACTAATTCTTTTTCGAAGAAGTAAGGTTTGTAAAGGAAATTATCTTGATGATCGCTTTGGCTAGGGTTCTCAGTTTTAATCTCGCGAATCTCATCGTCGGTAGCAGCATGGAAAATCCAGGCTCCATGTTGGTGTAAACCATAGTATACTTTCTTCGTAGTGCCAAGAATGTCATCATCTGTAGTAACATATAAATAACAATCATTTTTTTTCCAAATAGTTGAATAGTAATGACCAAATTAAGTGTCTTCAATGATGGTAAAAAAGTTGGATAGTTTACAAAAATATGGGCAAAGAAGTAGTACTTCTGTTTCAAATTGGAGTTAGGGTGTGTTTGATTCGGAGGATTATGTTCGGTTGGTGAGAATATCTTTTTTAGGAAAATAAGTTTCTTAAAAATAAGAAAGATGAGTTTTCTATTGGACAATGGCGGAGCTACATAGAACAAATGGTAATCAGTTGACCACCCTTCACCGGAAAGCTATATTTTGTAAAATAAAATTATACTATACATATTGAGTCATAAACATCCTTGATAAAATTTTTGATTTCGCTAGTGCTAGTGAAAGTACGAAAAACAAGCTTTACAATTGATATTTCACAGAGATTATGTTTTCTATACCCTCCATTATACCACTACACCTCATCGTAGCCCAGAGACTGAGAGGGACCCGCACTTTTAAGTTGGGGTATAAGTTTATCCGTTAACTTCGAAAATAATTATATATATATATATATGAACTTCCATTCCTAATTTGTTTTTGTCAGACAAAAGATGATCATAGTTTTTTATTACATGGGACAAATTTGATTCATTTTATTATCATATCAGACAAAGTTTAATCATTTAATATGAAAAAAAAAATTTGCGATCCATCGAGTTGAATTAAGACAAACCTGTTTGGGGAAGTAAATCTTTGATCACTTTTGGAATTTGAGCGTTAGGCAATTTTATTTTCCAATAAACTTCAGGAGATATAGCTCCATGAGTACTTGCTATAAAATTAAGCTGCATGTATAATAATAACATTAAGCAATTTTTCTATCAGCATCTCACTTGATTAAGTCAATTATAAGGAAAATTCAAATATGATTTCACATAACGATTTGAAATCAATTAATTAAAAAATAAATTTATTTGGACATATAATTTTTTTTTATTAACATGAAAATCTCACAATTTGTGAAAATTATTCTAAACATTCTCAACTCTTATTCAGTCTTAACAAATGAGCAAACCATAATTTATAAATAAGGTATGAAAATATCCTAAAGTGTTGCATTAAATAAATCATATATCTCCGGGACCTTTTTTATATAGAAATGTTTGATGTTACACTTATTACAAACTTTTAGATACACATAATTACTAGTTATTCTTCAGTACAATCTTTTCACATAGTACGGAACAATCTATCGAAACATGAATATATATATATATAATTTTTTTTGCCAAATGTAAACTTGTAGAGCAAATTTTATATTTTAAAAAAAATTAAAATCACAACTTAAAATGTAAATTGTTACTTGTTAGAGAAATTTAGAATTTCAAATAATAAAAATACCACTCACCAAGAAAATGGTAGAGTGGAGTAGCTGCAGCTTCATTGAATTTGTTTTTGTTATCATAAATTGTGAATAGATAAAAAAAACTCAAAAGGAAAAACCTTGGATGAACAAGAATAAAAACTATCCTATATTTATAGGCATAGAATACTACTCCTATTAAATATTTGTGCCCCTCTTAATTAATTATTAGAACAATTAATGAATTTCTATCAACAATGGTCATAAAAAAAAATATTTTTTTGTACGCTAAACCCTCTATCGTACAATGAATTTGAATTCCTCTAGAACTATGGACCATATAAATAAACGTGGAAGGTCCATGATTTGTTACTAATATTTTCTTTCTATTTTTGATTTTTTTCTATTATATTAAAAATAATTATTTAATTTTTATTTATCTAATTTTAAAAATTAAGAAATAATATCAAATATAATATTATTATTTATTTACTAACATTAGGAGATGGTTTATAATTAATAAAAATGTTACATTTCCGTTAATAAAAATTTTAACTCGGTCTTTAATTGTTGACGGTTTTTATCCAAAATATATATATATATATATATATATATATATATATATATATATA